AAACGCTCAGTAAATATTAAGTGAACAATTGTGTGTCATCAAAGAATCAAGTTATTTTTGCCTTTTTTAGTCTCATTATTAGCACGTATTTTTGAATTTCAAGCAAGGAAATATTTTTTACTTTGTTCCCATCAAGTATTTTTTTGTATAACCTACTTTATATTTTGTTTTGTTTTTGGTAAGTAAATAGGAACTTGAAAGCCCTAAGTGATTCTTTTAAGTTTATCAGTAACCTTTTCTTAGAGCAAATCTGAAGAATAACTACTGGCCACCTCTTGTTGAGTCTGATATAGTTGGCCCTAGTTTATCGTGGTTAATCAGTTCCAGACTCTACCACGAGAAATTAATTTTCGTGAAGTAGGGTTCTTTATTTATACACAGTGGTCCCTTCGACTTTCGCGGCTGAAGCGCGAAGTGGCGAGGGACAACTTTACTTTTCATTAATTCCATTGCCTCTTTCATTTCTGTCTTCTTTCAGTGTTTCTCTTTCTTCCCTTACCCCTTTTCATGTGTTATTCCTACATGCTTTTTTAAAACTTTGATATGTAACCTTCCTGTATATATCAACAACCCTCCCTTGCCTTGATTCTGAATTGGTATATATTTACCAGTATTAATTTTATGTTTTTAAAGTATGTTTTTATTGATTTTTTTAGAGAGAGAAAGAGAAACATCAATGTGAGAGAAAAATATTGATTCGTGCCTCCTGCACACCCCCTTCTGGGGATCAAGCCAGCAATCTGGGGGTTCGCTCTGACTGGGAATCAAACTTGGACCTCTCAGTGTATGGGACGACATTCAATCCATTGAGCCATACCAGCCTGGCACCAATATTAATTTTAAAATTTATTTTATGTTTTTGTTCTTAATTTTAACATTATATAACCTTAATACTTCTAAAATCAATGCCTCAGAATGCTAGTATTCTGGTAGGGCAAATAAAGGAAATCTGTAGTCAATTGAGTTTTGTTCACATAGAGTTTAACAAAGTTAAATTATCTTTACTTCTTGCAGGACTTCTCACAGCACCTAATATGCTGCTGTTCATTACGAATGTTAAAGAAAGGAATATTTTTATAATATGAACTCACTTTGGAAAGCTATTTTATTTTTTTGTTTCTTTTTTTTTTAATTTTATTTTTTATTTTTTCAAATCTTTATTGTTGGATGTGAAATGTATTACAGATGTTCCACATTTTCCCCCCATTGACCTCCTCCTCCCCACTCCCACCCCCCTCCCACCTTTTCCCACACTATTGTCTGTGTCCATTGGTTATGCATATAAGTTCTTTGGTTTATTTCTTCCCACCCCCCCAACCCCTTTCCCTTTGAGGTTTGTCAGTCTAGCAATGAATTTGTGCTTCTTAATCCCTTCACCTTTTTCACCCATTCCCCCAACCCCCCTCCCAACTGGCAGCCAACAAAATTCTCTCTGTATCTATGAGAATGTTTCTGTTCCACCTGTTCATTTTGTTTGTAGATTCCATTGTTGATAGATATGTATTCATTGCCATTTTGTTTGTTCATACATTTTATCTTTTTCTTCAAAAAGACCCTTCATCATTTCATATAATAACAGTTTGGTAGTGATGAACTCCTTTAACTTGTCTGTGGAAGTTTTCATATGTCCATCAATTTTAAATGACAGCTTTGCAGGATAGAGTAATTTTGGTTGTAGGTTCTTGGTTTTCATCACTCTGAATATTTCTTGTCACTCCCTTCTGGCCTGCAAAGTTTCTTTTGAGAAATCAGCTGACAGTCTTATGGGAACTCCCTTGTAGGTAACTAGCTGCCTTTCTCTGGCTGCTTTTAAGATTCTCTTTGTCTTGAACCTTTTGCATTTTGATGATGATGTGTCTTGCTGTGGGCCTCTTGGGGTTCATCTTGTTTGGGACTCTCTGTGCTTCCTGGACTTGTATGTCTGTTTCCTTCACCAAGTTAGGAAAGTTTTCTGCCATTATTGTTTCAAACAGGTTTTCGATTTCTTGTTCTCGCTCTTCTCCTTCCGGCACCCCCAAGATGCGAATGTTGGGATGCTTGAAGTTATCCCAGAGGCTCCTTGCACTATCCTTATTTTTTTGGATTCTTTTTTCTTTTTGCTGTTCTGATTGGGGAATTTTTGCTTCCTTATATTCCAAATCGATGGTTTGCTCCTTGGATTTACATTGAAGCTGTGTAAATTATTCTTTATTTCAGTTAATGCCTCCTTCAATTCTAACTGTGTATCCATGATTTCTAACTGGTCCTTTTTTATGCTCTTGAGGCCCTTCCTAAGTTCACTGAGGTTCTCACTAAGTTCATTGAGCATCCTTATAAGCAGTATTTTGAACTCAGTATCTGTTAGGTTGCTTATCTCCCTTTTGCTTAGTTCTTTTATTGGGGTTTTGTTCTGTTCTTTCATTTGGGACCTGTTTCTTTGTCTCCTCATTTTGGCTGCCTCCCTGTGATTATTTCAGTGTATTACTTAATGAGAGGTATGGGGCTCGCTGAGACCAGATGCTGCTCGTTTGAAAGAATTTAGGAAAAACCTGAAGCAGGATCCAAGACCGGCCAATCCTATGGTTAAGCAAGTGGCAACACCTTGGGTGGGCTTGAAAGTTGGGTGGGGCAGTGCGGGGCCTCAGGGAGTCACCAGGGCGGGGCTACCAGTGTGAGCCAGGTTGCTGGAGTCCCAGATATGGCTTCTGTCTGCCGCCCCGGGAAGGGCTCACCAAAGGAACAAAGGCCTGTGACAGCACGTTTGTCCCCAAGAAAGCCCCCTCTCCAGCCCTCGCTCCAGTGCCAAACAGCTCAGTTCTTCCCTGAATGTCTCTGGTGCCCCTCGAGCTGCCTCCCCTCCAAGCTTAGAGGGAGAGAGTCCGATAAGTCCGTGTGCGGGCCCTTTAAGGAGCTGCCTGGGGCTCCAGCCACCTCAGCTTCCCTGAGCCTCAGTTTCCGCTGGTTTTTCCAGCCAGAAGTGATGGGGACTTCTCTTCCTGGCACTGGAACCCTGAGCGGGGCACCTGGTGTGGGACGGGGACCCCTCAGTCCTCAGGAAGGACCTTCCCAGCTGCGGGAGCCTCCTGATTTTTATCCGCCACACGTGGGTGTGGGACCAGCCCGTCGCGCCGCCCCTCGCTCCACCGCCCCTCCTACCAGTCTGGATGTGGCTGCTGCTTTAATTCCGTAGTTGTAGGACTTCCATTCAGCTTGATTTCAGGCGCTTTTGAATGATGGTTGTTCTGTAGTTTAGTTGTCACTTTGATGTGGTTGTGGGAGGACGCGATACCGCGTTTACCTATGCCACCATCTTGACCGGAAGTCTGGGAAGCTATTTTAGAATATAAGAAGTATTAGGTATTTTCATTTAGGTTTGAAATATTGGAATATTTCTTAAAGGTGTATATTACATGTTTTGTCTTCCTTCTTGCTTGTTCATTTCCCAAATATGTCTGAGTGCTGGCTCTTTACCAGCTGTGTGTGCACTCAGATGAACAACTTATGCAAGCTGCTTAAGCAGTAAGCAGTCTAACCAATGGGATAACTTACCTAATAGTACCGGAGAAGCTTAGTGTTAAAACTGTAAGTAAAATTACAGTGGGAAAATACCAACATTTCTTAAATGTACTAGATTAGTGTTCCTACTGCATCTCTGTTTTAGTTTGATAATATAGACAGATATTATTTTAAACCACAGTGTAGATTGTATTGTACGTTATCTATTAAATGCTCTATTTCTATTATAAAGACTTCTTATGTGGCCTAATGACTTAAAATGAAGTTAAATATGGTATATATTTTATTTAAATATACAAAAAAAAAAAAATAGAAAATTTAACTATTGTGTAGAATTTTACTTTAGAGAAGGTATTCACTTTTTTCCAGAAACTTTAACATATCATATAATCTTGTAAAAAGATAAAAGCAGCCCTGGCCGGTTTGGCTCAGCAGTTAGAGCATCAGCCTGCGGTCCTGAGGGCATGTACCTCGGTTGCAGTTTGTCCCCGGCCCTGGCTGGTTGTGCGGGTGGCAGCCACTCAATGTGTCCCTTTCACGTCGATGTTTCTCGCTCTCTCTCTCCCTCCCACTCTACCTGAACAAAAAAATGGAAAAAATGTCCTCGGGTGAGGATAAAAAAAAAAGATAAAAGCAGTTACTGACTACATTTATTCTGCAGAAATAGAATAAAGGTATATTAACTATGAGGTAAAATATAATTGAAATATTACCTCATGTAATCTTTAAGCTGAGGAAAGAGCAATGAAAAATAGGTTTAGATGAGTAAGTAATCAAGAATCATCAATTACTACCTTTTTTCTTTTTATGAAAGCATGATAATTAAGGATGACAGAAATGTGGGTTTTTCTAGTAAGGAAAATGTTTCAAGTTGAGCTAATAGTGACTTAATAATGGTTTCTCTTTACTTTTCATTTTTATTTTATGTGATTTCATATAAGGAAGACATTTATCAGTAATAGCAGAACCCTAAAAATAGAAATATTGAAGAAAATTTAGTCCTTGTCAAATAAGGACCAAAGCTGATTTGATAATTTAAATCTGCTGACAGGGAAATAATTGGTAGGTTGTTCTCTATTTTGGTAATACATAGCAAAACAAAATGAAACAAAAATAGTTGACTAGAATAAATATACTGATGTGTTTCTTAGGACTCTGAAGTAGTAGCTAGGAAAATAGTAACTCCACCCAAAGATACAATTATTTGACAAACTCATATACCCTTTATACTTTGCAGGGAGAAGTTTGGTTAAGTTATTTAACCTCTCCCCATTCCCACCTTCATCCCCTGCCATATCTCTTTTTACATAAATACGAATTTTCAAATGATGAACAAAGCTTTTTATTCACTAAATTATTGTAAGATTCTAAATAATTAGAGTGAGGCATACTGATATGATTGTAGGTGCACTGAGGACATCTTTTTACCTATTTATTTCTTTTGTTAAAATAAGGTTTAAAATAAGATGCTACTGATAAAGGAGCAATTTTATTCTTAACTCTAGGTATCTTCAAAGAACAGTAAAGCATCCCACTTTACTACAGGATCCTGATTTAAGGCAGTTCTTGGAAAGTTCAGAGGTATTATTTCTACTTTAAAATTGTGTATATAAGTATTTTTAGTCTTTATATTTTTCAGTGTAATAATTTATGTAAGAATAGAGATGCTTAGTAAACAAGTGGATTAATAGCTAGAATAAAGCAATAATTTTTTTTGCTTAGTACTTTAATTAGCTTTAATTACTTAACTAAATTACTAGCAAAATGTTTTCTTTGCATTGATAATTATAGGATTATCATTCCCAACCATATTTAAAGGAATGGCTTATGTAGTCTAATTTTCAGAGCCATAAATTGTTGCTTAGACATTGTATTGAAATAAGTTTATTTTTAGAGGTAGTTGAATGTATATTCTAACGTTCTTATTAAGGTTTTGAAATGCAAATTTGTAACTTGAAAGAGCTTAAATTGTAATAACCATGCTGCTCTTTATATTTGAGATGTTTGGCACACTTTGGTCTCTTAAAGGGTTGAGAGTTCTAACTGCTACCTTTTGAAATCTAAAAATTTATTGAATCCCCAGAATATTTTAAAAATTCATAATCACACAATTTTAACTGAGCATGAGGAGATTTTTTTCAAGACTTTCTTCTTTCCTTATAAACAGTTTATTTCTGCTAGGAAACAGGTGGCCAGTGTTAAGATGCTTGGCAATTACTTAATATATTTTGACAAACAGACTGTTGTTCCATCTAAATGTAAACATACAGAAGAAAAACAAATGGAAAGTCTATTTTTTAAGTTTTCCTTTGAGAATGTACAAGTAGTGTATTTGAGAAATTAGATCTCACTATTGAAATGTATGAGAGTGAAAAAAATACAACCTCCTTTTCTTCTTTTCTTTTTTTGGGGGGTTGGGGGGAGGGAGGACAATCCCTTTTGTGCCCAGTTAAACCTCCAGGCTTTTAACCGGTTTGTTTGCCCTTATTTGTCATTCAATTCCAGCTGCCTAGAGCAGTTAATACACAGGCCCTGAGTGGAGCAGGAATATTGAGGATGGTGAACAAAGCTGCCGACGCTGTCAACAAAATGACAATCAAGATGAATGAATCGGATGCAGTAAGAGCTGATTTTTCGACTTGAATAATGAGATGAATTAATGAGCCCAACAATTGCATTTTAAAGCTGTACAAGTAGAAAATAGGATATTAATTTGCTTATTGAGTTTAGTTCACAGCCACATCAGTTGACCACCATGGTTATCCATGGTTTATTTGTTGCTTTAAAACAAGGAATGTAGTTTGCTATTGGTAACCCAATTTATAGTGGTTTGTTCTGAGTAAATTAGCTCCATTTTTCATTTTTTTGCTAGTGGTTTGAAGAAAAGCAGCAGCAGTTTGAAAATCTGGATCAGCAACTTAGGAAACTTCATGCCAATGTTGAAGCCTTGGTCTGTCATAGAAAAGGTTTGTTTGCCTTGCTATTTATGTGTTTAGCATCATGAGTTAATTGAAACATTTTATTTAAATTTTATTTAAAAAAATATTTCAAGTTATTATGGAAGAGAGAAAACAATAAGAGAATGTTTTCTGTTTCAACTTTGTTTAATGTAATTATATTCTATTTTAATTTAACTTCTAATTTAGACGTAGAAAAATCCAGAGCTTAAACTATATTTTGAATTATGGATTAAAATTGTTCATTTAAACTCTTTATTAAATATATTTATTATTCAATGAATGAAGATGTCTTAGTAACTGATTATAATAAAAAAATATGAGATTCAAAAATTGATATTTGAAAATTTCCTTTAAAATATTTGTTTTATGCCTATATTTTCTAGAAAACTCTGAAATATTTTCTTCATTTTGGAACCATTGTATTAAAAAATCTGAGTTTTTCAGAATTTATAGAAAATTTGAGTTGCAGTATTTAAATTTCATGGAGTTTTTCTTTGTTTTTATTTTTTATTTTTAAAAAAGGCTTTTAATAGCATATGTCTAAAATTCTTAATAATTTAGTATGTGCCATTACCAGCAATATGTTTTAATCAAATAATTATAGAAATCTAATTTGTTAGAAGTAGTTTATAACAGCTTTTGCCATTTGTTTTATATCTCTTAGGAAATGGGCTTTGAGATTCTTTTAGATCACTTTATATAATACAGAGCAACAGCAATTTCCAGGCAGTGTAATTGTAGTCATTGACTATTTGCAGTATCTAAAATGATCATGTTCAAAAATCTCTTTAGAAAGTCTTAATATTTCACTAAGCATTGTTGCATACAAAGAAAAAAATAAGATCTATGAGAATTATATGTACAATTTTGTCTTGCTTTCCTTTTGTTGGCTAAATAATATTCTCATTAAAAATTATAGACATTGGCCCTGGCCGGTTTGGCTCAGCGGTTGGAGCGTTGGCCTGCGGTACAGAGACCCGGGTTTGGTTCCCGCTAAGGGCACGTACCTTGGTTGCAGTTTGTCCCCGGCCCTGGTTGGTCGTGCGGGTGGCAGCCACTCAATGTGTCCCTTCACATCGATGTTTCTCTCTCTCTCTCTCTCTCTCTCTCTCTCTCTCTCTCTCTCTCTCTCTTCCTCTCTCTCCCTCCCGCTTTATCTGAACAAAAAATGGAAAAATGTCCTCTGGTGAGGATAAAAAAAAAAATTATAGACATTATTTTTAATGGCAAATGCTTAAAGGCAAAGTAGTATAAATCAATTATGTGTTCTCAATACTTTCCATATTAAATATAAATATACTTATTTATTTATATATATATTTTTAAGGAATAGACAAAAAGAATAAATACTTCAGGAGAGAAAGGGGAGGCAGAGTACTATATTACATTTTTAAACATAGTTCATCTTCTGGGAAGATAGGCAGTGGTTCTTCTTAATTTTCAGTAGAGCTCTGAGCAGTTGGGATTTATGCCCATGGCATTTTAATGACTTGTTGTTTTTGTTAATTATTTTTAAATATTATTTGAGCAATTTGTGAATAGATAAAATTTAGAGAGAAGGTAAAAAAATTAATTCAGTACTTAAAAACTTTACTTATACCCTGACCAGTTTGACTCAGCAGTTAGAGCATCAGCCCATGGAGTCTTTGAGTTCAATTCCAGTCAAGGGTACATACCTCGGTTGAGGTTCTATCCCTGACCCTGGTTGGGGTTTTGCGGGAGACAACCAGTCTATGTGTCTCTCTCACATCGATGTTTCTCTCTCCCTCTCTCTTTTCCTCTCTATCACCCTCTCCCTCTCTCTCCCACTCTATCTGAAAAATCAATAGAAAAATATTCTTGGGTGAAGATTTTTTAAAAATAACAAAAAAACTTTACTTGTGAACATTAAAAGTGAATACTTTTCTTTTTCAGAACTTTCAGCCAACACAGCTGCCTTTGCTAAAAGTGCTGCCATGTTAGGTAATTCTGAGGATCATACTGCTTTATCTAGAGCTTTGTCTCAGCTTGCAGAGGTTGAGGAGAAAATAGACCAGCTACATCAAGAACAAGCTTTTGCGGACTTTTATATGTTTTCAGAACTACTTAGTGACTACATTCGTCTTATTGCTGCAGTGAAAGTAAGCTTTATTTTGTAATCTTTCTTGAATTCTTCTCACTTAAGTGGTTTGCTTATAAAAGAATTTGGCATGTATTTAAGTTTATAAATTTCATACTATAATAGTACATCTAAAATGGCTTTAAGATGATTATTCATAGCTTAAATTTTTTTCTGTGAGTTGTACAGTACAATAGACAGAATTGATGTTTTTAAGAGGTCTGAGCAGTGCCAGATAAGATAAAACCAATGCACACTTACTTACATATTTACATATACAAGTTGCAATCAACCGGTAGCATTTGTTTGCTCATTGTAGCTTAAACTGAAACTGTCCACTGGATTTTACCATCATTAGTAAAGCTATAATGAGAAGCAGGACAAAAACAGAATTGATGGTTGCTTAAATATGTTTAATAGTGGCTTTAGCATGAATTTGGACTGTAAACAAACATTCTGTGTATATTCCAAAATGTGTAGTTAGCATATATTTATAGATGAGATGGGACTACATTAGTTACTAAGTATTATCTAGTGGTAATATTTAAGAATGAAACAGTCTTTAATTTCTGAATAGTTGGAAAAATAATTTACTTAACTAATAAAAATAAGTATTCGATAAAAGGTAAAATATCTGTAACAAAAAATAAATAAAAAATTTATAAAAAATAAATGCAGCTCTGAGTGCAGCCTCGACAAAAATAAAATAAAATAAATAAGTATTTGATAGTTATCTCCAATATTCAAATAATAAACTGTGTATTATTTTATCTATCTTATGTTTCAGAAGATACTTTGGGATCTTACCTTGTCTTTGAATTATTGTTATGAACATTAGTTATGGAGTGGGGGAACTGGAAATTTACCTTTTACATTGAATTCAAACATCTAGAAAGTTAATGAGACCTTGTTCCTTGCTTTCTAATGTAAAATTTTTTTAGTTGATGTATGTGATGAGATTAGTATTCATCTACCATCAGACATTTGATACATTGCTTATTTATTGATGATTTGGTTCTCGAGCTAATGGTGACAAGTCTATTAGAAGATTCCTGGCACTTCAAGAATGGTGCTTTCTTAGGTTTGGTAAAATTACCAGTTTTATTGAATTTACTCTTAGACATACTCTTTATCCTGATGGTTAATTTTTCTTTTCAGTTATTTAAAGATGTTAATATAGATAGCAGTTATCAGAGTATACTTCATTTTATATATAGGTAACTTGAGATATACAGAAATCCAGTTTACAGATAATGGTTCCTTTTTATCTTTCTTTCACCTACTTACCTCATTCCAGAGCTCCCATTAGCATGAGAGCTGTTGTAGAAAGTATAACACCTACAAAAAAACTTGTGGGTCCAAAAGGGAAGCTGGGCAGTGTCTGTGAAGAGGGACATGTTGAGAAGAGATAACCTTGGAAAATACTCCCTGGCAGGGCTGGCCTATCTATTTAATGGATGCTGATCCCTCAAAAACAGCTTTCCTCATATTGCTTATATCTTGCTGTATTTTTATGTTTTGTGTAAATACAGTTATATTCATGTTTCCTAGAGTATATTCTACGGAACACTGACACCAAAAGATAGACCACAGTCAACTGAGTTTGGGAGATAATGTGTATAATATCTCTGTATTGTACACTTAGAATGCATGTAAAAAGCTTAGAAATGGCCCTGGCCAGTTTTGCTCAGCCGTTAGAGCGTCGGCCTGAGGTCCCGAGAGACCTGAGTTCGGTTCCCACTAGGGGCACGTACTTCGGTTGCAGTTTGTCCCTGTCCCTGGTTGGTCGTGCTGGTGGCAGCCACTCGATGTGTCCCTTCACGTCGATGTTTCTCTCTCTCTCTCTCCCTTCCACTCTCTCCCTCCCACTCTATCTGTACAAAAAATGGAAGAATGTCCTCGGGTGAGGCTAAAAAAAAAAAAAAAAGCTTAGAAATGTCTAGGAGTAAAAAATTAGACATTTAACTTAATTTAATCTAGAGACTTCCAAATTCATATGAACAGTAATCATTTTCAACTTAATATATTTTTACCTATAAGGAACAGTTTTGGGAAATGCTGAATTAGTGATGTATTGACTAAAAGAGTTAAAGAGCTATGGTCAAGTTATACATTGAGGTAAATTAAACTCTTTTAGATTGGTTTTCTAATGTAACCTAGCACAGATCAATCATACCAAATAGTTGAGAAATTATGGAATAGGGTGATGGGGTATTTGTGGTCTTTATTTATTATTGTTGTTGTTGTTGTTGTTTTAAACTAATTCATTTGTATTTGAAAAATCAAAACATGTACATAATAATTGTAACAACCCAAAAAGGTAAATTTCTTTTCTAAGGCCTCTAGTCTTTGTTCCCGCAAATGCTGTTAGATTCTTGTGTGTTTTTACAGAATTAGCTATGCATGTAAATGAAGCTAATTTATTTTCTTTTTCTTTGTTACTCTCTCTCTTCCTCCCTCCCTCCATTTCTTTCTTTTTTCAAAAAAGAGCATACTCTGCACAGTTTTTGCCTGCTTTTTTCACTAGCTCTATTTTAGGGAGGTCTCTGTATCAGCATGTTACATTTGTAATGGTTACAGAGTATTCCATCATATAGCATATAGGTGTACTTTGAATTATTTAACCATCCCAAACTTAAATTTAGTATTTTGATAATAACTCTTTGGGCATAAAATTCTTAGAAATAGAATCGCTTGTCCAAAGGGTATATGAATTCCAATAATTATTACCATATTACTGCCCAAAGAGAATATACTTCTTTGTACTCCCATCAACATGTGTCCTTCTCCTACCCAGTGATGAAGAAATTATTTTTATGCATTTTAATTTCTCTAATTAGTGTGAATTTAAGCATCTTTTCAAATGATAAGCCATTATATTTCTTTTTTTATATGTAATGTCCTTTGTTCAGTTTTTTAAAATCTTATTTCTAATAGCTATTTAATTCTCCATAGCCTTTTGTTTTATCCATACTAACACTACTTTTCTGATGATAATTTTGAAACTAGGATTACTTTGGGAATTGGCATATAGAGCCAAAATGGGGAGCTAAGAACATCAGAAATTGGGGCCTAAAGAAAGATAAATTGTTTAAGCTTGGCTTTGCATCGAGAGAACTCTTACGTTCTTCTTTTGTACAGTACAGGATCTCTGACATCCAAAACTTTATATTTTGGCTGGTACTGTTAGCTAATATTTATTAAATGGTAAACTCATTGCATACATTCTTATGTATTCATTTGTGAACCACTAGAGTAGGGTCAGGGATTGAGGGTAATGGTTATCATTGTTTTTAGCAATGAAGGAGTTTAAATCCTTCATTGTTTGACTTTAAGTAATTAGCACCCTTATAGGACTCCAGGAATCTGGGCAGCATATGTTCAGATTTAGCTAATTAGAATGTGGTATTAATTAATGAAAATTGCAATATCAGATTTCATGGTGGACCAAGAAAAGTCAAGTGCAATTTTGTCTAACCTAGCTAGACTACCTTGCATGCAAATGTGTACCATAAATATGTGGCAGGCAGATGGAGATCTGAAGTGGATCATCAGTGTAAGTCTCTTCTTCTTATAGAAGAGGATGGTTCTAGAGTGGATTATCTTTTTTTTTTAATCCTCACTCGAGGATATTTTTCCATTTATCTTCAGATAGAGTGGGAGAGAAAGAAAGAGAGATACATTGATGTGAGAGCGACACACCGGTCAGTTGCCTCCTGCACGATCCTGACCAGGGCCAGGGATTGAACTGCAACTGAGGTATAGAATGGTCTACGGGCTGATGCTCTAACTGCTGAGCCAAACAGGCCAGGGCTAGAGTAGATTATCTTGACATACAAAGACAAACATTGTTATGATTTAATTGCCTTTTTTTGTTGTTGTTTTTTTTGTTTTTAGTTTCAGGTGTACAGCATAGTGGTTAGGCAATAATATACTTTACAAAGTGGTCCCTTTTATATTTCAAGTACCCCCCTGGTACTGTAATAGTTATTACAATATTATTGACTATAATCCATATGCTGTACTTTACATCCTTGTGACTGTTTTGTGATGGCCAGTTTGCATTTTTTAAACAATACGTTTTATTGATTTTTTTTTGGAGAGAGAGATAGAAACATCAGTGTGAGAGAGAAACATTGACTGTCTCCTGCATACCCCCTAGTAGGGATTGAGCCCACAACCTGGGCATGTGCCTTGATCGAGAATTGAACCAGGACCTCTCAGTCCTTGGGACTTCGCTCAATCCACTGAGCCACACCAGCCAGGCTAGTTGCTTCTTAAGATAGCATTTTTAGAAGAACATGTATAGTTCTGGTTCTTTTATTTTATTTTTTAGTGTTACAAGGGTAGGAAAATGGAGAAAAGTTTTAATTCTTATACAGTTAAGATTAACTTTATTTTTCTGAAATAACTTGATTTTAGTAGTCTTACCTTTACCTTACCTTTACCATAGCTCCTACAACTGTTGTGCCTTTTCAGATACTCTCTTTGTCTTTAACTTCTGCCATTTTAATTATGATGTGTCTTGGTTTGGGCCTCTTTGGGTCCATCTTGTGTGGGACTTTCTGTGTTTCCTGGACTTGTATGTCTTTTTTCTTCACCAGGTTAGGAAATTTTTCAGTTATTATTTCTTCAAATAGGTTCTCGATCCCTTGCTCTCTCCTCCTTCTGGTACCCCTGTGATGTGGATGTTGTTATGCTTTATGTTGTCCAAAAGATCCCTTAAACTATCCTCATTTTCTAAAATTCTTTTTTCTTTTTGCTGTGCTGATTGGGTGCTTTTTCTACCTTATCCTTCCAAATCACTGATTTGAAACTCTGTTTCATCAAGTTGACATTTTATTTATTTCAGTTTATTCTTTGTTTCAGAGACAACATTCTTTATTTCTGACTGGTCCTTTTTAATGTTCTTTTTTATGCTGTTCAACATCCTTATAATCATTACTCTGAACTCTATAACTGATAAATCTCTTACCTCCATTTCATTTAGCTTTTCTTCTGGTGAATTCTCTTGTTCTTTCATTTGGGACCTGTTTCTTTGTCTCCCCATTTTGGCTGACTATTTGTGTTTGTTTCTAGTATTAGATAGATCTGCTATGATTCTCAGTCTTAGTAGGGTGATCTTATGTATTAGGTGACCTGTGGGACTCAGTGGCGTAGTCTCCCTGATCACCTGAGCTGGTTGCTCTAAGAATGGCCCTTGTGCATGTTATGTGAGCTCTTCTGTTGTAATTGAATCTTGATTGCTATTGGTCCATTCATGCATGGGATCAACCCTTGGGCTGGCTGACAGTAAGGCTCAACCCCCACACAGTATGCAAGCTGCTGTACAGGTGCTGATCACATGAAGCAGAATTCGCCTCAGCAGAGTTTGGTGCCTACTGATATCTCCCTGTGGATATGTTGCTTGTGAAGTTTAGTCGATCCACTGGGTATATTGGTTCTGGGCCTCTTTGCAGGGACTCTGTGCAGGCCTATGTCAGATGCTGTCTGTGCCTGGCCCTGGGCAACCTGTTTGGAGCTATCAGTGATCCACAGCTTGTGGCTCCCTCTGCTGGGCCTGGGTGCATGTGGAAAGGACCAAGCTGTACACTAAGGTCTGCTTTTACTAGCACCTGGTCCAGGGGCAGGTCAGCTAAGGTCTCAAAGCACTCAGAGATCCTCCTCTGCCTGCAGGCTGTCTGTTAGGCTTAGTTACTTAAAAAGTCTTTGGCTGTTCTCCTCAGCAGGGCATAAGTTCCACAGGATGGGGTGAGAGGGATTCCAATGGGTGGGGCTAGTACTTGGTTCTGGTATATTATGAGATAATGAATTGGTCATGGACTAAATTAGTTTAAATTACTATACTACTAAAAAAGGCATTTTATATACATGTTGGGGCAAAAGTAGGTTTACAGTTGTGAGTACACGAAACATTTTATTCTTGTATTATTATTTATTTATTATTGTGTTAGCCATATGAACAACTATAAACCTACTTTTGGCCTGCCCCATATTTAAAACTTAAGAAAATATTGAAATTCAAGGGTTAGCTTTGCGCGATATTGGTACATATTTTAAGTAATCCAATTGTTATTGAACAGAGGAATTTGTAAATGAAGATCTGTTATGGCCCCATTCCCCTAAAGAAAGACTAGGCCTAACATTTTAAATTACTTTTTGGTTTTGTGTATGTATGCATACGGGGAAAGATTCAGGGATTGTTTGTTTGTTTGTTTGTTTGTTTGTTTTAAATGGTAGTGACTTTTTCTGAATCCATTTATGTTAGATGTAACTGATGATTTTTGGCTCAGCGGTTAGAGCGTTGGCTTGCGGTCCAGAGAGACCCAGTTTCGGTTCCCACTAAGGGCACGTACCTCGGTTGCAATTTGTCCCCTGTCCTGGTTGGTCGTGCAGGTGGCAGCCACTCGATGTGTCCCTTTCACATCCATGTTTCTCTCTTTCTTTTTCTCTCTCCTTCCCGCTCTAGCTGAACAAAAAAAAATGGAAAAATGTCCTCAGGTGAGGATAAAAAAAATAATCTATACAAATAGCTAATAGTGATTAACATTTACTAAAGTCCACTAGGTTATTAAGACACTCTGCTACGTACTTTATATTTTATTTCTAATCCAGAAATGCAGATCTTAGTTTCCTCCTTTTATATTTGGAAGACTTAAGGCTTATAAAAATTAAATGAATTTACCCAAGATCATATAGTGACAAAGCTAGTATTTGAAGCCAGCTTTGTTCTAAAACTTACTTTTTTTTTTTTAGTACACTATCTACATACTTTCTCTTCAGCAGGTCCCTTTAAGAACATTTATTTGTTTACTGTTTCTTGATCCAAAAAGCTCTTTATTTGGAATAAATGAAAATAAGTCTGGTTTCGTGCTTTCTAGTTTACTCAGTTTATCAATGTTTGCCTTGTTTGTTTATTTAGTAAATACTAAAGTAATATGACTATATCCTCAGCATCAAGCTAGAGAAAGGATTATTTTATTCTCATACTATCCATCATTTTTTTTTTCCCATGAGACTTATAATTACTCATTTCTTTATTCACTTGTCCTTTCTCTGCCAAACCCCTTGAAAAGAAATAATGAACTTGGTTGACTTGTTCTGTTACACTCTTTTTGTCTGTTTCTTTAATTCTGCATATACATATTTGCCCTTTTCATCTTGTATAGGGCTGTCTCTTTTTGCTTTTGTTTTGTTCTATTTCTTAATTTCTTTGCCTTTCTTTTATTTGCTACTGGTAATCTCTTCCACCACATTTTTAGTTAACTTTACATTTTATTATCTTATGGGTTTTTCCCGTTTTTTTTTTGTTTGTTTGTTTGTTTTTTTCCATTTTTGGCATATTTCCAACACTTAAATCTACTTTTGATATTATTTAGTAGGAAAACTTCCAATGTAGTTATGACACCAGCATTTTCTTGTTGAAGATATCTTTCTTGAAAGCATAAACCTCATAGAAATCTTATTATAAGCCACATTAAAACCCTTAAGACTAGTTAAATGGATTTTGCATGTATATATATTTTTTTAATTCTGAGCACTTACATTTTATCTAGTCACCGGGATTTCTGTTTTTAAACAAATGAATATGGAGATTTGTATATTTTTTTATATTGTTATGTTTATTTTCAGTACTTAAGTATATTAGAGTAGAATTTAAATGCTGGATTTTATTGTTTTTAGTATTACAGCACTTCTAGTATAAAAGTATTTTAATGTTAACTGTCACTTAATAACATTATGTCATTCACTTCTAGGGTGTATTTGACCATCGAATGAAGTGCTGGCAGAAATGGGAAGATGCTCAAATTACTTTGCTCAAAAAACGTGAAACTGAGGCAAAAATGATGATTGCTAACAAACCAGATAAAATACAGCAAGCTAAAAATGAAATAAGAGAGGTGATTAATACAAATGCTTTATTTATTTATCTCTTTACTCAAATTTTCCATGAGTCATTCATATATGCATAATTTTTCATAAATTTTTTTCTGAACCATTCAACAACATAGCTATTTTTCCGTAATTTTATGAACTGTGTTAGAATTAATTCTAACCTTAACATACTGGTTTTCACTAAAATCTTCAGAGACCTATATTACTTTCATATGATCGTGGAATGAATAAAGAAACATACAAGGAAAAGATTTAAATTTATATTTAATAAACACATTCGTTTTGAAATGATTAATTTGATTTCAGACAATTACTTATTTTGTGTCTAAAAATAGTTTTAGAGGTGGACTTGTCCCTCATTTAGCTATGCAGGCAATTTTATCCCCCATATATATGTGTTATATATGGTATTTTAATAAATTTGTATAAGTTTATTATAATATATACACTTTTTTTGCCATGCTTCAATAAGGAAATTGAAGAGGTAGGACAACCTTTATATTACTCAAAGTGAATGTACCTGCTCTTGGAAGAGTATGTACCAGTGTTTGGTTATATAGTGGGAAAAATATCATTTCATAGCTTGAGTCTTCAGTTATTTTATTTTAGCTGTTTCATTGGTCACTAATCACACTTTGTTTTTCTATACTGAATTTAATGTTTACCATTAGGTCTTCAGCAGACCATAATTCCACAGTTTTTTATTTTTGGTTTGTTTGTTTTAATCTGGACATTTTACCATTACAAAATGTTTTTTAAATGTTTGTCGTACAGTTTTTCTAATTTAAAGTGTTTCCATGGGCATATAAATTGTGATGAACATATAGTCTTTAAATTAGCAGAATGTAGTTTATATATTTTGAAATAATGATATAAAAAAGATGAGAAAATCAAAATCTAAAACTGCAAAATTATTTGGAAGTGAATTTTATACTCAATTATTTTATTTATCTTAGTTATAGTTAATTCAGTGATGGAGATTGTGATTCAGTAAATACTAGATTATCCTAATATTGAGTAAATCTGATAGTGAAATATTAATGGAAACTAAGCTGATATTAAGCATTTCTACTGCTAGAAAGTTAGGTACAAGTTGAAATGATGCTAAATTGGGCTTTGCCAATACTGAGCTTTCTCGGGGTTTTCAAGTATTACATTGAATTCAGTGAGTGGTCATGACAACTAGTTCTATCATTTTTTTTCTAAACAAGAATTTTTAAAATGTGCATTTTTGTTTGTTTTTATTAGTGGGAGGCAAAAGTACAACAAGGAGAAAGAGATTTTGAACAGATCTCTAAAACAATTAGAAAAGAAGTGGGACGATTTGAGGCAAGTATAATTTTAAACTTTTCTTAACAGTGTGGTCACATTTGCTGTGAATTTATGGTAAAATCAAATTTAGTTTTGTACTAATGGACTTCTTTTCATGTATGTACTTTAACAGAAAGAACGAGTGAAAGATTTTAAAACTGTTATTATCAAGTACTTAGAATCATTAGTACAAACACAACAACAGGTAAGCTAATTTTTTTATAACAAGCTTTTTCTGGTATTTAAAATAGTATTTAGCAAACTAGCATAGTTTTTCATTTTAAAGATGATAATAAGAGGAACTTTTATACTTAAAGAGGAATAAGAAATGAAGTAGAGAAACCAGATAACAGCAAAGGAATGAAGGGCAGCTAAAGTCATTGGAAACTCTCAGCTCCTTTTTGCCTCTACTCTTTCTAACCACTCGGCGAGATGTATTTTGCCCAACTTTAGGCTATCAAAAATATACTGGGCAACTTTTCCCTTTTCCAGGCTTCTTAGGATTATTTCCCTGTTGATTATACCTTTTTGATCAAATTCTTAAAACTCTTCTAGATCTTCCAAAAAAGACAGAACTTAAACTTAAAATAATTTTTTTTTTTTTTAGATAGAGCGGAGGGAGAGAGGAAGGAAAAGAGAGAAAGACACTTCGAGTGGTTGCCACCTACACAACCCCAACCGGGGCCGGAGACAAACTGCAACCAAGATACCTGCCCTTAGTGGGAACCGAACCCAGAACTCTCTGATCCACGGGCCGGTGCTCTAACCACTTAGCAACTGGCCAGGGTCTAAAAATAATATTCTTAAAGTTTTAAAAAAATACTATTTTGATTTTTGTTTTAGGTGGAGTTAGTGGTGATTGTATGCCACAAGTAGTGGCATTTGTCTCTTTAACTAGAGACAGTGGTACTCATGTTACATTAAATAAAAGTCTTTTTTTTTTTTTTTTATCCTCACCCGAGGACATTTTTCCATTTTTTGTTCAGGTAGAGTGGGAGGGAGAGAGAGGAACAGAGAGAGAGAGAGAAACATCGACGTGAAAGGATCACATCGAGTGGCTGCCACCCGCACGACCGACCAGGGCCGGGGACAAACTGCAGCCGAGGTACGTGCCCTTAGCGGGAACCGAACCCGGGTCTCTCTGGACCGCAGGCCGACGCTCTAACCGCTGAGCCAGACCGTCCAGGGCTAAATAAAAGTCTTTGACAAGATAATAGCAGAGTTTTTTTTCTGGTGTATTTTATATAAATTTGAGTAATCAAATTATTTAATGTCTTGAATGCAAGCATTTCTTTCTCCAGTTAGTTCTAAAATATGTAGATTAGAAGCTTGCCTATATAATTTTTTGAATTAGGTGACCACATTATATCTTCAGATTATATATTTTTATTTTAAGTACTTAATTCATAACCAGATATTTAAAATATGATAATAATTAAGATATATAAGCGCCCTGGCCAGTTTGGCTCAGCGGTTAGAGCATCGGCCTGTGGTCCTGAGAGACCCGGGTTCGGTTCCCGCTAAGGGCATGTACCTCGGTTGCAGTTTGTCCCTGGCCCTGGTTGGTCGTGCAGGTGGCAGCCACTCGAAGTGTCCCTTTCACGTCAGTGTTTCTCTCTCTCTCTCTCTCTCTCTCTCTCTTCCTCTCTCTCCCTCCCACTCTATCTGAACAAAAAATGGAAAAAAATGTCCTCGGGTGAGGATAAAAAATAATAATAAATAAATAAAGATATATCAGCTTGTTTTTAAAGGAATTGTTTTAAAAGGAACTTTATACTTCAGTCTATTCTCTGGACTATTCAGGAAAGACTGGCAGCTAATTGTTCTCAGTCTCTTGTCCCATTCTTGCTTATTATTTTTTCTTCTTCCTTTTTTCTCATTCTTTTTGGCTAGCAATAATATAAATTTGAATATTCTTTGATACAGATGTTATCACTTTACATTGGAAAAATTCACTGTGTTATTAGTTAAGGTAATCTTACGATCTGTTTCTATTTACTGTTTTGCATAAAACAAAAAGATCTTGTTTTTGGATATTTTAAAAATTATATTGCTTACATTGAAAACAAATTAGCCAGAAGTATTTAGTAAGTTAAATAATTTATACATGAATTATATTAACAAACTTCAGATAAGGGACTTAAAATGATTTTAAGAACTCGACTTTAGTTAATGTTAAATGTTAATCACTATTAGCGATTTGTATAGTTTTTTGTTTTGTTTTGGTAATCCTCACCCGAGGATATTTTTTCATTGATATTTAGAGTGAGGGGAAAGGAGGGGGGCAGAGACAAAGAAGGAGAGAAACATCCATGCGAGAGAGACATGTCCAATCAGTTGCCTCCTGCATGGCCCCACCTTGGATCGATCCTGCAACCCAGCCATGTGCCCTTGACCAGGAATTGAACTCGACACCCTTTCGTCAGCTGGCGACACTCCAACTGCTGAGCCAAACCAGTCAGGGCTGTATAGGTGTTTTTAAATACGGCACAGGATATGTATATTTAAATAACAAAAAGGTAATGAGAATATCTTCATTTTTGTTATCATCCACAGCTGATAAAATACTGGGAGGCATTTCTTCCAGAAGCCAAAGCCATTGCCTAGCAAGAAGATTGCTCCTGTTAAGATCTTGGATGTTTGTTCCAGTTATGCTGATTCCACAGTGAAATCATTGAAAACCATCTAAATAAACCACTATATATTTTATGAATTACATTTGGTATATATACATACATATATATATACATACACACACACACATATACATATATATATACAAGAATATATATATATATATATATATATATATATATATTCTAACATTTTATTACAAGCTGCATGTCCTGACTCTCTTCGAATTAAGTGGACTGTGGCATGACATTCTGCAATACTTTGCTGAATTGAACACTATTGTGTCTTATATACTTGCACTAAAAAGTGCACTTCAAGACCAGGAAATTTTACAATATTTTTTTCTTTACGATATGTTCTGTAGTTTGTTCACCCTCTTTATGAAGTGAATTATCAATGCATTGATTATTGTTCACTTATACATTCCTGTACAGAAATCATGATATTGTGATTACAGCAATAAAATTATATTCCTTGTGAAGTATTAGTAACAAGTTATTTGGGTATATAAACATATTAGGAATCTTTTAAAAGCATTTTTAATAGGAAGAAACTTTTCCTTCTAGATATATAAATATATATATATATATTTTTTAATTGACAGAAAGAGCTAAACTCTTTTATCATTAAATGACAAAATGAAGCTTAATTTTTCTTATGAAATTATCACAAACCAAAGAACATTTATCTTTTGATTCAAGTCTGAGGAATGTTCTTGTCTTGAGTAAAGGACAGAATAATTGTCTTTGTTTTTATCCATCCCTATTATAAGTGCCCAATTTAAGAGTTAGGAAGAAATGTATGTACGTGCTTCTGTTACAAGTCGTATGGGTTTTGCTCATCTGTTATCTTCAAAATCCAAGACTGCATGTATTTAATTTATTCCCTTGCCTTTCTTTGTTTTCATTTGAAACTAAAAGTCAATCATCTATGGTCATAAGTGACAAAGAATGGTACCATGCTAAAATACCCCGTGATTTGGTAACTAACCAAGGATGGCACAAAGCAAATTTGAAGTAAAATGAAATTTGTCTTTGGCTACCTTCTCACCTATTCTGTATCCTCTTTACATGGCTATTATCTAATTCTTAATACTGGTGGAAGTTTAACTTGTGACTGGCATTATAGTTATTTTTATTTTTTAAAAAGTATTATTAAAAATGTCTCATTTCTCAAGCTTAACAATGGGCTCTCCTCCCACAGAAGTAGTATATGGTGTGTAACAGCCTCTAGCAGCTCACTCGATACAATTAGAGCATCAGGGTGGAGTATCCTCAGGATATGTTTGCTTCCACCACTTATTTTAGTTGAAATTCTAAGCATACTGTAGGTATTATTCATATTTATATTCCTAGAACCCAGAAGTACTTGACACATAATAGGTTAATAATAAAGACTTGAACAGGAAAAACCCTGGAAGATGCAAAATAAGGTTTGCTCTTTTAAGAGGAAACTGAAGCAGAAAGAGAACAACCTTCTATCATTGCTTTTATTGGAGATAATTCAGAAACTTTTGAGAAATGAGTAAATTCATGGTAATACATATCAGATGCTGTCTTGTTGAGTCATTAATATTGATCAAAATATAGGCTTACTGGGAATAGTTTGACTACAATGATGTTCTAGTATGATGTCCATAGTTATATTACTTCCAAAAATACAGTTTAAATATAGGATAATAACATTTAATTAAGCCAAAATCCTCCATTCCACAGTGGTATGTTCATTAGAACATTCAGTACCTTCAAATAAAATAAATATTTTCAGTTTTGATCAAACTGAAGACAGTAACAGACCCACACCTCATTCCAGACTTACTCCCTTTAACAACCTTTGCTAAAAGGTAAAGGAGTCTGTTAGAAATTTCAAGTAAATTGTATTAGCCTCTGATACCTACCCACATTTTAACAGCATTTAACTTCTATATCTGCCCATGTCCACCCATCAAACTTCACATTTAGTATTCTTATGACTAAAATACTTTCATTCCAAATAAATAGAACAACAAAAGCATTACTAGTCCTGAAAACGTAATTTTTCAGTTGTATAGGTTTGAATTTGAATATTTCCTCTTTTCTTTAACCAAATAAAAGTTAAAGAAGGACTAAGGAAACATAATACAGTGGAACAAGCTGAACCTGGGGTCAACATACATGTATTTAGTCTTGCTACTATCACCTTGGGTATATCACTTAAATTTCATCTATAAAATAAGTATAATACTCTGATTTCTAAGTGCCTTCTACTTTAAAAGTGTTTTGTTTAAAATACCAAAGTTCAATACAAACTATTAGAAAATAAAATTCTAATCAAAACCACCTTCTATTAATAAAGTAAAAAAACAAGACTGGAACAAAATAAATGTATTTAAAAATGATTTCTAAAACAAAAATACGTTTTCTTGAATGTACTTTTGATGAGCTATTTTCAACTATTTAGCTTGTTTTATACATATATATATATTTATACTAGCCTCAAAATACCCTTGTTTCATTGTCGCTGTTCTTTAAACTTAGTAATTTTATTATCAAGATCTAGTAAAGCTTTACAAGTCTCCAGTATAAATTGTTTCATAAATAGTTTTTAAATATAAAATGAGTAAGCCTCTTAAATCAGATTTCTTGAAAGGAAGAAAATCAGATGAATAGAGAAGGAAGATTATATTCCTTTAAAAAGTGCTTCTTGGTGTCAAAGACTTCCATTTTTCGGTCTTAAATAAAGCATGTGACTAGTTACAGAGCTAAATGGCTACTTCACTTTTCTTGTGGGCCCTGCATCGGCAGTCATGTGATTAAAACAAGACTCAAGGAAGACAGCAGAAATGCAGTAATAGTAACTACAAATAGGATGGGCAAACTTTTTCATCTTGTTTTAAAGAAGATCACTGTAGTGAGAAGGAAAGATAAACCTGGGAAAAAGAAGTCCAGTCTCACTGGCTTGGGAGCTTTGGATGCATTTCCATATCATATTCACAAATCAGGAAATGCATATGTTATGCTATCTCTGTGTGACATAGTCTCTAGAATTCGGATGGAATCATGATGCCTTTCCTTATCCAACTCCACAGTCATTCCTAGCCCTCACGGTGAATGATGTGGTTTCAAGTAATAAGGAATGTAGATGGTTGGCCAGACATAGAAATACTAAGAAGAGGGGAATTAAAGAGTGGTATGAATAATTGTTGATTTTACTCTTTGTAATCAGGGCCAAGAAGAGAAGTCATGGTAATCTGTGGGTGGATAAGGTCCGTAGCATTTAGGCCAATAGAAATAGAATGTGCGCCACGTGTATACTTTTTAATTATCTATAGCCAATTTTTTTTTTTTTACTTATTTTTATTGAATTTATTGGGGTGACATTGGTTAATAAAGTTATGTTTCAGTGGTATAGTTCTGTAATATATTATTTGTATATTGTATGTTCACCACCCCAAGTCTCCTTCTATCACCATTTATCCCCCCTAAACTTTCTACCTCCCCCCCATGATAGCCAAATGTTAAAGAGTAAAAGAAACAGGTAAAATTGATTTTAATAATTAACCCAGTAGCTCTAAAATATCTTAACATGTAATCCAATATATTAAAAATTATTGTGATGCTTTACATTCTGCTTTTCATATTGTCTTTGATATCCAGAGTGTATTTTACATTTTCATCACATCTCCACTGGCCACATTTTAAGTGATCAGTTGTCATACTTGGCTAGTGCCTATGATACTGGGCAGCGCAGGTTTAGACAGACAATGTCTGTGGAAATGGAGAGTAAGTCCAATAGCTACTCTGTTATTTACTATCTCAAATTCAGCAAACAATTAAAAACTCAATAAAAAGGACTAGTAGGTGTTGCTGTCAAGGGCAGGTACAATTTATGTGCAAGACTTTGTAGCATATTGCTTTGCAAGTAGTGGGTACTCAATATCTACTATGAATAAATTGTAGACTGTACTGCCATAAGGAAACTTATCGTCTGTCTAGTACAACTTCTCATTTTACAGCTAGGCAGATCCAGAGTTTAAATCATGATGATGGAACTGATTTTACCTCTTAAATTTGTGTGTTAACTAAGAGCCTTCTTTCTTGAAAATGTATTGGTAAGCTTTTCAAGATTTTTGTTCTAATCATTGACTTATAGAATACTAGGAAGTCCTTTGGGATACAGAGAATTTATTTCTTCAAAAATCCTTCAGAAGTGGCTAAGAATAAAAGATTGTAAAAAACAGGAAAGTTGTGGCTTACTGTCTAATATTTTAATGCACATGAAGAAATGTAAAATGCTCATCTTCCCTTCTCTTTTCACATACTTTTAAAAAAATTTCTAAAGATGGAATACATTTAAGTATTTTTCTTTACTGGGTGAAATGAAAACTTTGTGATTAAAGTAAATTAAGGTAAAGCTGAGCTGACCACTTGTTAATACACAGAAAATTATTATTTTATTTAGGCCAGCAAGTGGAATAAACTGCTTTAAGGGAGGACTTTGGCCAAAAAAAAAAAAAAAGTTCTATTTAAAATTTATATGTAACTGTTCAATTACTAAAATCAGACAAAATTAACAATACTAGATAATAAACTGCCTTCTTATTGCTTCCATAGTCAAGTCTCGAGTTATCTTCATTTTCACATATTTCCTAGATCTTTATTTCAAATGTTCTTACTATATATGTGTATAAGTATGTGTGAATTTTTATGTGTGCATGCATGACAGTAGGCTTGTCAACCAGACCTAGTTTCTAAATGTCAGTGAAAAGTGTTTCCCATCCTCTAGTAACAGACATAAAACTACTTACACTTTCAGATACATTGCTTAGGTATCATTATTTTGCCAAGACCAACTCGAGTTGATTCTGTTTCTGAAATCTATTCCCGTCTTTATTGTTTCTCTCTCGGGGTCAAGATCTTGTGACCATGTTCCAGAACTATCTTAAGTCTGCTATGAAAGAAATACACATTATTTCAGTCTCCCTACTCTGCCACTCCTACAACCTGCTGCTGAAATGATCTTCCTAAAGAAGTCTTATTACAACACTATGCACAGAGATCTGCAATAGATCCCTATAGACTACAGATAAAGTCCAGATTATCCAGAATCGTGTCTCAAACTGCTGTTCCTGTCTTGCTCTTAGT